AACTAAATCTATGTGCAAGAAGCGGTAGTTACCATGATTCGAATCCTTATTAAACCACAATGCCATGGATTCACACCTACTCCTTTCTCTCAATTTGAAAAGTCAGTACATAGACTTAACTAACAATGTCTTACGAAATCAGACGTTATTTGCAAACAGACATATTAGGCCACATCAAATTATAAAATGGAAAATATACATGAATCAGTTGGAAGATGGTTATGATTGGAGTGAGCCGTAAAAAATAGACCGAAAAAGGGATTACGGAATGATGAATCGGATAACAATATTGAGTGGGTTATTGGAAAGATCGTGTTGAATGAATTCATTCTCTATATGTATCTATATAATCTGAACACTTGACAAGTATACAATAGAGTGATAGTCGATGGACATTCGAGGAAATGAACTTCAGTTTTCACAATATCCGTTCTGTTATCATACAAACAATCAAATTAGGCATAGAAATTCACGATTCATTTTCATAACTAAAGAGAGATGATGCCTAACTGTGATTAATTTATGCGTATTCGATCGCAAACGCCTGACTATCAAGATATTTTAAGTTGGATTACGCTTTCACTAGAGATAAAACATTATTCAGTTTAGATCTCATCTCAGAATCTATATACCCTACATATGTACATAGATGTCAGTTATTTGCAATGATGTCTCGTTGAAACATCCATACCTTTTGTCATTGTCAAATGATACATCTTTTCTCTATATCTTTATACAGTATGATTGATGAAAGGTTGCATTACATTACAGGGTTGTTTAATGATAGAAATATTAGTGATCATTTCTATATTCTTTGGAATTTCGTCAGAATAACATTGATCACATTGCCATATGTTGAAAGTAATCATTGGACAAAAATCTTATTTGATTCCGTGAACACGAAATTCAAAAACTGTGTTTCATACACATAATTCCCTGTGCAGGTTATCCATGTCATGTGTGATGCTGTTGCTCATCGGAAACAATAGAGCATGGTCGCAAAATGTTGTTGAAGAGTCCCATTCTTGGATGGAACGTTCGTTGACTGCTTTTAGTTTTTCAATGTTCGTCTAACATAGTTCGATTCACCACCTCAATTAATCATAATACGTGGAATATAAGTATAATTAGTAATGGTAGAAGTCAATGATGATTAGGAGTATTTGAATCATGGCATCAACTTAGAATCTCAGAAACAACGCAATTTAACTAAGAAGTTCTAGATAAGCACGAAAGAATGTAATGTATTTGGAATTCAAATTAAGCAAGCAATCACGTACAAGAAGAATCCTTAGTTCATACAAACACCACAAAGCAGTAAAAACAAAGGGAGTATTTACAATGAATAAAATGTGTGTGTGGGTTTTACTTGTATGGACAGAAGAATATAGTATCGCTAAAGAATTGAAAGTAGAATTCAGACGGATAATAGCGGAAGGAAGAAAAGAGGAGAGAAGATAATACGGTTAGCATCTAAAATGAGAACGGAAATGAAAGGACGATGGTGTTTGTGGAAAATCAATTAAAGGAAGTTAGGCAAATTATTTACATCATGTACGTTTTACACATTTCAGTTATGCAGTATGTGTATTGGCATAACTTAATAAATCTGTTTACTATTACCTACTCTCTATATTAATTACAGATGTAGTATTGGTAGTGTCGATAGTGATAGATTGTCCGGTCGTTGTTAAAGTGATGCAGATAGTATAATGCGTAGTAATATGTTATTTGGGATTTCAAAATTTCCACTAGTGGAAGCGTAGAATTATGGTCTACTATGATAATAGTAGTAGTGCTCTAATAATAGACTTGTATCTAAAATTGTAAGTTGGTTAAGATGTAACTGCCTACTCTTTAAGATCTTACATGGAAGTCATTTTGAAACGTGTTTATTAAGAAGAGGTTGCACTTTTCCCGTTCTATCTGATGATAGATAAAGGGAATAATTTAACTAACACTTCAAAGTCTTCAATTGAATAATTCAGTATCCATACAACTTTGATACAATTGTGATCTGCAGAAATTATTAAATAAACGATAAGAGATTACATTCACTTGATGTTTTGTTACTTGTATCTTCCTATTCTTATTTAGGAATGAAATCGATGGGTTCGAGTCCCGGAATGAACATCAACACTGCGATGCGGGGTACATCTAGATGACGAATCCCAATTAGAACGGAACGCATGTCCTGGATTCCACTGCTAGCCACTATCCATCTTTGCTTGATAAGAGATTACATTTTGTGTTTATCCTATTACTTAGTGATCCATTCGTTCATTACATAGATTGTCTGATAGAAGCAATATATTCTATAGTGTAAAACTCCTGCAAATATAGAATGTGCATAACGATGTTTGGGCACATAAATAAAGGATCTGTTAACTCAGTTTCCATTAAAAATTACATTGATGTTTTGAAAATTAAAACTACAGCAGTGTTTTTCAACTACTTATAATATTATAATAAGTAGTCTAAAAACATCTATAAAGCATGGTAAGATATTTCGTTAAGAAAATACAAATAAAGAAAATTCATTAATGAAATGACTTCAGAAAGACAGTAGAGAATCGAAAGAGCTCATTGTTTTGCTAATAACGGTTTAAGCGAAAATCTACGAACGATATTTGTTTTCGCTACCGAATTCCCTGGTACGGTCGAGAGTATACAGCCACTGCCAGAGAAATCCTACTGACTGTTTTCTCGTAGCATTACTGTTGTTTACAAAATTGAGAAGAAGAAAAGCGCATGTTCGATATTTTAACTAGGTTGCTATATACGAATGATCTCCTCAAAAGAGTTTGAAAATCCTGAATAGTACTGTCTTCCTCTGTATCTCAGTCAGCTGATTTCTCATCTCGAGTAGGAAGTCGGTAGTTTTAGTGTGATGTGTGCTACTCAATCTTGACAGTTATAAGTAGTATGTATCACTGATCGAAAGTGGAATGTTTGGAGACAGAACATTTGGAAAATCGAAAATAAGAGGACGAGAATGGAACACATACTACCAATCCCTCTTTCAGACTATTAACCTCATTCATTGTTACTACCATTAAAACACAATTAGTACATATTGTACACAAATCAATTAATTACTGAAAAACCATATATTGTGAACTTGAATTACTATCCTATTGATATCTATGATTGGAAAGGTAAATTTATGACGATTCTCATTGTTGTATCACGATGTAACTCATAATCACTCCACTTTAAATGGAACCAATAAAATTTCCTCAATGTTAGATCTATCGAAGCGCCGAACTCATTCGATTGAGATACGCACAAAACCGAAGTTTCCAAAACAACGATTTCTCTAATTACAAACCTCAACTTGTGAGGTGTCTGGAGCGTTTAAACACGTCCTTCAAGTACGAAAATAAAAAGGCTTCCAGTAACAGTAACATAAAGAATAATTACAACATACGATAGTACAATGGACAGTTGATAGCTGTGTTTAAATTTGATAACAGTATATGAACAATGGAAACCCGAATCAAGAGCGAAACATTATGGAAACTGTTACGTTTAAACAAATGCACGAAACTGTGGATAACCTATACAGTGATTAAGGTACAGTAATGATAATGATAAATACAATGATAAGTACAATAAACGTTATAAGTATGTGTGAACATTTCTGAATATTACAGTACAACTTGCGTTACAACATAAGTGTCAAGATTGTTGGGAATACAACTGCTTACTGAATGTAAATAAGTAGTATAAAACACAATATAGAAAGGAGTGGAAAGGGAGCGAGTAGGAACAATGTGAGACAAATATAATACTTAGTAGTACGTGTTCTAATAGTGATTCATTCATTCATAATGATGAACATTCATTCCGATTCCATAAATATAATGAAGAAATACGAATGTTAAGTAGTTGAAGATAGTTAGTAGATAACTACGCAATTACGTTTCATGTTATTTAACACTCATCAGTAAGATATATCTGTAATCTCGAGGGTATTGATGTTCGTTTGAGGATTCGAACCAATTCATCCAGCTTTATAGTTCAAAACGTAACCACGTAACCACGTCGCACAGACTTAAGGAAGACTACCTCCAACCACATAATATTCCATTTTTGTCCACTTGATATCTAGTTACTTAAGCGTTAGTTGTATTTATTCAACGCTAAAGACTGGGTAAACACAGCATTGGATACTGCTCAAGTATTCTATATCAATATGAAGTAAGAAAGGACAAACATTGTTCGATTAATTAAGTGAATTTTAGATGAGTTTAGGTGTTGCATTTATATTATTTGCTCCGTATTATTTTACTTTCTTTTCACCCAGACACTTCTAACACTTCTCAAATGAGACAAAGTCACTACAATCTATTCTTCCTCACAAGCCAATTACTTATTTAAGCAAAGATGGATAGTGACTAGTAGAGGAATCCAGTTTGACGCGTGTTTCGTCCTATTCGGAACTCGTCAGTTGGATGTGACAGCAACTCAGAGTTGATGTTCACTATAGGATTCGAACCTGGTATCGTTCGCGTTATCCACTTAGCTACTGAGTGCTGAAAGCTCACTGGGTTTGAATCGAACAGCTTACTGTTGCTGACATCAGATATCATTTATTTTGATTGATGATATAAGTCTCACATCGGATATTACTGTGCTGTTCTTCCGGTAACTGTGTTTCATTAGAACTCTGAGAATGACTGCCGTAAAATTAACTCACTATTAAACACATGATGATTGAGATTCTATGTGGTTTCTCCTTCAAACAGTAACGAATTTCGTTACTGTGAAAATTTCACTCATTCATCATTAGAGAGTACAGATTTCTGAACGATTCTAAGTATGATTATAATTGTTTAGATTGAGTAATTAAATATGGTTAATCAGAATGTGAATTTTTCTGTCTCATTGGTCACAAATGGAATATTTTGTGCACTATATTGGACTAATTGAAAACCGATTATAGAGAATTATGACAGTGAAAGAAATACAACGATACACTGAACGTGATGAGGAGC